GGGTTTAGGGTTTAGGGGTTATAGCTGAATCATACCCCAAGGCATCGTTAGAATTATGAAGGCCCCCGATGTTCCTCGTCAGCAGCTTCGCAAGGGGCTCGCCAGCCGCTTTCCCTTCGACAACCCATCCGGAAGCCTCGCAGACTGCGGCTTAGGGCTTCCAAGCTCGGAAGATCACATTTATCGGTTTAGGGTTTAGGGATCGGAGCCTATCTGATTACATTGCTGGAGAACGGTATCTACATCCTTACATGGGGCATTTGCAGGCCTGCTCTTATAAACCTGAGTTTAGATGGTTCGAGCTTGTCGCCCAAGCCGTATCTCCGACCTCCAAGTTATCCTGGAGCTCCGAATCGCAACTCCCCTTCTTAAGACGGTTTAGGGTTTAGGGTNNACCCTAAACCCTAAACCCTTGGAAATATACACCCGGCATTCTACTCCCAGAGGGTTCCGGGTTTCAGGGTTGGCCCTGCTAGGCTTATCAGTACAGCCTAAGGCGATCTGCCTAAAGGCTTAAAGAAGCGTCTGTGTGTGTATGACGTAACGACGTACACAGGCAGGAGGGTCGCACAGCCGTGACCCAACTTGCGACCTTGCGATTCGGAATTGTGGGGCTCTCCTCCCTAAAGACGTGTAACCCACATGCTTTAAGCAATGCTGCCGAACATGCGGATGGCGGCGACAACGCGGCCAAGCGCACCACCCAAATCCAAAGCTATGGTCCCTGAACCCTAAAACCCTAAANNCCTAAAGCCTATAGACCCTAAACCCTAAAGGCCCTCATCCCTAAATCCTAACCCCAAACCTGTGCTCCGCCAACTGGACGTACAGACGTTGCCTCTTCTTTGCACCTCAGCGACTCGCTTTCGAACCTCACAAAGCAGATATATGAGGGTTTAGGTTTAGGGTCTAGGGATGATGTATCGTTAAGGGCTCATGGACATGTAGAGTCTTATCTAGAACTACCTAAACCCGACTTCTGTCTTGACGTCGGGTGTTAACGGAAGCTGCAAGATACCACGCGATAGTCCTCTTATGGTAGTTCCATACCTCTAGCGTAGGCTAGGGACATGCAGGGAGTTCTTGACATCAAGATTCAAGCCCAGGTCTAAACGATGATCCCTCTTGCAGATCTTATGACAGGCCACTCTAGTCTAGTCGAATGGGTATATTGACGCGAGCGGCGGTCCGGCGGGTAGAGGCATACCCGTTAATGCGAAGTCTTTTAGACATTGCTGGATTTGGGGAGGGTGTCTTCGGGTTCAAGCTTCACCGCCTGGAGCAACCACAAAACCAAAAGGGAACGTGTAGTTTGATGGTGTTGGCTTTGCCCTTGTCATAAGAAATTGGGACGCTATCACTGCACCGCTGTTGCTATCGCTGCTCCCGTGCATCCCACGATCAGGGTTCTGCTTTTCACAATTCTCTTTCGTACTTTGTTCAATGCGCCTGGGGGTGGGTCCTGTGCAAATAACCTGTAGGAGGTACTTCGTTACCCAAATCATAATTCTAATTCCTACCACGGAAACCTTCCTTTCTACTATGTCGGTATTTTGGATCCTTTGGCAGTCAGCTTGTCCGAGGGGCGCATAGGGGCCGGTCCCCGTCGCGTCTGCGCCACGCAAGCGCTCCCAAACAGCCACGGAGTCCTGCAACATCCCTACCCATAGGCCCTAAAGTAGTTCCTTTTTGGGGTTACCGAAGAGGATTCTATATATGAACCCCCAAAAAGAACTACTTTATATAGAGCCTATGGGTAAACCTTATAATCCCTGAACCCTCAACCCCTAAGCCCTGAAGCCTAACATGTGGTGTGGGGCTTCCTGGGACGGTTTCAAGGCCTTTGAAAGCCATGCGGAACAACAGATGCTCCCAACTTCCAAACATAGACACACCCTACACCCTAAACCCTATACCCCGAACCCTAAACCCTAAACCCTGAACCCTAAACCCTGAAGATCCCCGAACCCTGAACCCTCAACCCTAAACCCTAGAAGCGCGACAAGTATTGACCCCAAAAATCTCCTCGGCGGCCGATGACGGAGCTGCTTCCAGAAGCTCAGTGATCCGATCCGCGAGGTCTTCCTTTCCATGTCTTTCCAAGGAAATTTAGGGTTTATGGTTTAGGGTTTAGGGTTTAGGGTTCAGGGTTTAGGGTTTAGGGTTTACGGTTCCGGGTTCTGGGTTTAGGGTTTGGGTGTTTAGAGAGTAGGGCTTAGAGGTTTATAGGGTTTAGGGGTTTAGAGGTTTAGGGGTTTAAGGGTTCAGGGGTTTAAGGGTACAGCAATTTGGGTTTAGGTTTAGGGTTTTGGGCTTTGGGTTTAAGGTTTTGGGGTCTGGTTTAAATCATGGAAATGTTAGGGGTGGGGGGGGGGTTGGGAGGGCGGGGGCCCGGCAGAGAGGCCTCAGCAAGGCTAGTGGGAGGTGGTATGGTGCTGCTTTGCAGAAGTTTGCGTCATGTATCGATTCGGAAAAGCCCCCGCGACAGAGAGGCTGTTGAGGTCCAAGTGCTTAGCGAGTACTTAGTACTTAGTGAGCGCTTAGCAAGGGCTTAGTAAGCTCGAAGCTTCCGCAGTGAATTCCCGGGCAACATATTCCCGATCCCATGGATGCATTAAAGCACGCGGCAAACTCGCGTGCACCGGTTACGAAGGCATCAAGTGCTTACAAAGCACTCGCTAAGTTCCGAGCTCTTACAAGGCACTTGCTAAGCACTTGCTGAGCCTACTCGGGCTCCCCCACCCCCCCTGGCCCCCCCCTCCTAACATCTCCATGAAGTTTAGGGTTTGGGCTTGTATACGGGTTGTGTAAGTGTGTAAGAACTCTACAAAGTTCTGCTTAATTAAACAGGGGGATATAGATTCAGGGTTTAGGGTTCAGAGTGTCCTGGCTTTGCAGATTCAGGGTGTCAGGGTCTGGCGGTCACGGTTTGGGTGCGTTGAGGTAGTGCTCTGTGCTCGTCGGCATGGGTTTGGAACTTGCCTGCGGCTGCCCTTTGAGTGTGGTGAGTACTGGGTGGTCATCTCCTAACCCTAAACCCTCAACTTTGAAACCCTTGTGCCCTAAAGCCTCCAGGTTTGCCGCCAGAGGCCGGCTACGCGAGAAAAATCAGGCCTAGGGGGGAGTAAACTCCATGAACTTGAACCCCAAAACCCTTACCTCCAGCATAGGTAGCCTTCTCAAACTGATGTAGATGCCTGAACAATTATGATAGGGTGGGCTTTGGGGGTATAGTATACAAATACTTCCAATAGGGAACCCCCAAAATAGTGTAGGTAATTAGTAAGGCCCCTATATTAAGCCTGCCTCAACCCAAAACCCTCAAAACCCTATTGGGTAGTTCTCTAAGTTAGGGTCCCTTTTTAGGTCCCCAATATAGTACGGCACCCTTATAAAAAGGACCCCAAAGGGACCCTAATTTAGAAAACTACCCCCATGCAAGCCACGGCAAAGCCTTAACCAAAGCCCCCAAAGGAGCCCAAAGTCTCCATGTCCCCATTTTGTGTAGGCGTAAGCCTTAGCGGGGTTCCTATATACCCTTTACCCTAAACCCCTAAACCCTAAACCCATACTTTGAAGGCCTAAGCACGGTTTAGGGTTTAGGGTTCAGGGTATGTAATGTGGGCGCATGGAGCGTTAGGGGAAGCAACTCGAAAAGGGTAAGAATGAGAAGCTCTCGCCTCCTTGCCGTTCACGGCCGCGTCCACCACCCGCATCTCCAGATACGGCTTCTGAAGCGACCGTCGCAAGGCCCAGTCCTTGGTGGCAGGGTTCACGGTTCAGGGGCGTAGGTCTTGGGGGATGTGCTGTGACTAGGGCGGTCCTATGCCAGTTGGGAATCCTCTTTTGAGCATCGACTGCGTTCAAAGATCCGACTAGCTGGGATCTACGTTGGAGATCCGTTGGGATCAGAAACACTCATGATACTAGTCGATTACTTCCTGAGGCGGCTACTGGGCAAACTAAACCAAACAGATTTGATGTGGGAATACACCCAGAGCCAGAAAACCCTGGGCCAAAGCATACACCCCAAATCATGAACCCACGCCGAATGATTTCCCGAAGCCCCGAAAGACAAACCTTAAAAGCCACCTCCCTCAACGTCCGAGCTTAGAAGAGTCTCAAGGCACCGAAGCCAAAGCCTTGAACGCACTTCCCGGAAGCCCTGAACCTCCGTGTTTAAGGCCTTACAAAACCCAAACCCTAAACCCCAAACCCTAAACCCTAAACTCTGAACCCTAAACCTTGAACCCTTAACCCTAAACCCTGAACCCTCAACCCTTAACCCTAAACCCTGAACCCCGAGCCCCACACTCTAAACCAAGCCTCCCCAAATAAGCCTCGCTGAAACCGAGTGGCGTAGACGGACCAACCTTCGAACAGGCACCCGAAGAGCTGGTGCCTAAATAATACCTATAGTCTCCATTGTACTTCCTGTTTTTGTTTAACCAATTCTATATTAAGGATCCTATAAAGTAACCACAAAAAGGAACTACAATGGAGACTTTAGGTAGGTTTAGGGTTTAGGGTTTAGGGTTTAGGGTTTAGGGCACCAGGTAATAATAGGTTTAGGGCCTAAACCTATTCTTCAGGTAGCTGGTGCCCTCAACCCTAAACCCTAAACTACTGGGCTAGATTGTACGTGGATAGTAGCCTGCTGCTTACCTAAAGTCTCCATTCTAGTTCCTTTTTGGGGTTACCTTATTCGATCCTTAATATAGAACTGGTTAAACCCAAACAAAGAACTACAATGGAGACTAGAGGTAAGCAACCGGATCCACAGGGTCAGGCTTGCAATTCCAGGACGTCTGGTATCTCTGAGCTTCCATGACCGAAAGTTCATACAGATTGAGGATTCAAACCCTAAACCCTCAATCCTAAACCCGAATTATTTTCGAATTCAACCCTAAACCCCAAACCCTAAACCCCAAACTAGGCTTTCAGGATCCACGGCGTCTAGAGCTTCGGCTTCGGATTCGGCGTCCAGGACTGGGTCAAAAAGACCATGGGCCCTGGGTCAGGCTTTAGGACTTGGGGTTTAGGGATTAGGGTTTAGGGGTTTAGGGGTTTACTATAAGGGCCTCAATAATTAGAACAGGGATTAAACCCTAAACCGTACTTAGGCGTTTAAAGTATGGGTTTGGGGTTTAGGGTTTAGGGTTGTGCGGTTTAGGGTTTCGGCTCTGGGATGGAGGGTTTGGGGTGGTAGGGCGGATAGATTGCAGGATCTCCGATTTTCGGGATTTGATCGGCCTGGAAAGCCCAAGCAATCCGAACCCCAACTCCCACACAAGCACTCGAACTAGAAAGTGTCTATCCTTCAAGACCCCCAAGATGCCTCTATCACCTCAACCCGAATTTCTATACCCCAAACCCCAATAACAAACACCCTCATAAACCCCACACCACCATCCATAAGCCCTAAACCCTCAACCAACGCCCTAAATCCTAAACCCTAAGCCCTAAACCCTAAATCCTAAACTCTACACCCCAAAACCCTAAACCCCTAAACCTAAACCCTACTCCCGAAGATCGCCTGCTACGGCGGCTGCAAGAGAGCCGGCAGCAAACTCAGCAGGACCGGCGCCTTCCCGAGTATCCGGCAGCAAAGAGTTCAGGGTTTAGGTGTTTAGGGGTTTAGGGGTTTAGGGTCGTTTAGGGTTTAGGGCTTAAGGGTGTTGGGGTTGGGGGTTTAGGGGTTTGGGGGCTAGGGTTTAGGGGTTAAGGGTATGGGCCGAAGGGAACTGCAGGGTGTCAGGTTCAAGGTTCAGGGTTTCCAGGTTTCTCCACCATATATGTGTTATTCTGACATGCGTTTGTACATACAAGAATGGTAAACATAGAGCCAGAAATAATCACAATAACAATATTCATGCCAATAAAATAGTCATATAAACAATAGTAGCAACAATAACAACAGGAGTTCTCATGGTCACATTCATCATCATCACCATCATCATCATCATGATCATCCTCATCATCACCATCGTCATGACCATCACCACCATCATCATCATAATCATCACCATCACCACCATCATCATCATAATCATCGTCATCGTCATCCTCATCCTCATCCTCATCCTCATCCTCATCCTCATCATCATCACCACCACCATCATCATTGTTATTAGCCATTGTTATTAGCCACCTGTGGCACCGCTCACTCACTTCGACAACGCTTGTCCTTCACACACATGCCCAAACCCGAAGACTTGGCGGGGCAAAGTGAGGATCAAGTCCCGGAAGGGGCCGCGAGTGGCTCCACCGCAACAGTAAGAGGCACCCTTCGTCGGGCGTGAGAGTCTTATATAGTGAATCGCAGAAAGTTGGAACAAGGGTTAGGGATGATTCGTGCTAGGTTTCCCTGTACATCAGGATCTTGATCTACCAAGTTTCTGGCTTCTACTTGAAGGGTTTAGGGCTGAGAGTTAGGACTCTTGGGATGTAGATTGAAGGTTTTCTGGGATTTGGGGTCTATGCTATGAGGTCCTAGCTCAGCAGGTCCATCGAATCGAGTGTTGTCAGTGTCGCGCTTGGGCTCTCCTGCGCCCAACGAGAGTGCCATGAAGCATCTGCGAACTTCACAGAAATCTTTAGGGTTTAGGGTTTAGGGTTTAGGGTATTATAAGGTTTAGGGTTTAGGGTTTAGGGTTTAGGGTTTACATAGGGTTTAGGACCCTAAGCCGCAACGGATATGCTGCACAGTACCCGCGACTGGGCACCCACATCCCGTCGAATAGCAACGTGAAGGGTCCAGACCCAAGAAACTGCCTGCACTGACCTCCTGTACTTGGAGGTTCATGGGTATTTATAACAAGTGGGGTCATAACTACAGCCTGGGATCCCATAACGCCTCCAATCCAAGCCCTAAACTGTAAATCAACCACCAAAACAGCGGATCTTATCAAAAGGTATCGGTTTAGGCTTTAGGGCTTGGGGTGTAGGGTTTAGGATCAAAGTAGGGGATCTTATCCAAATATATCGGTTTAGGGTTTAGGGCTTGGGGTGTAGGGTTTGGGGCTTCTGATTCCCTTTAGAAGAAGAAAACGCCAGCCCCGAGACGCCTTCACCGAAGACCGAGCGGGAACATCTTCGAGATCTGCACCAACACGGATTAGGTTTTAGGGTTTAGGGAGTTTAGGGGTACCAACACGGAAGGAGGATCCAAGGAATCGGTCGGCTGAGGCTTCAAGGTTTAGGATACATATATATATATATATATATATAGGGCCTTTAGGGTTCAGGGGTTTAGGGAAGTTTGGGTTTAGGGTAGTCTTTTTGGGGGGTATTGATTGTAAGTGGGGTCATAAGTTGGAGAACTAGAGTTGCAATCCATATTAGGGGGGCTTATAACCCCACTTACAACCCAAGTACCTCGAAGTAGACTCCAATCCCAAGCATCTAAACCTCAAAGACGCTCAACCCCTCAGCCACCCCCTCCGACCCGGTTGAGGATTTAGGGTTTGGGGCTTAGGGCTTTGGGGGTTTAGTGTTTAGGGTTTCGCGCTTAGGGTTTAGGATTTGCGGGTTTAGGGTTTTGGGCCCAGGATCTAGCGACAACCCCAAAGGGCCGAATAAGTCGAAAGGGGTTGGGGTTTAGGGTTTAGGGTTTGGGGTTCCTACTACCTCTGCGTGCCGCTAGGGCAGTTGGAGAGGCTTGGGAATTACCCTCCCCTGTGCTCTATCCTGTTGAGGAGCGCAGGCACTAAGGTTTAAAGGCCGGAGGCACCCAAACCCTAAACCCGAATCAAATCCTAAGCCCTAAACCTTCTGCTGGGCTTCGCACACTGACTGTTGGGCTTGAGGGCGGCTGGGTAGGGGAATCGTTCTGTCGCAAACTAAGGGTCCACACCCGGTCATAAGAGGGTAACGACCCTCAGCACTAAACCCCGAAAGCCGACTTCTTAAAGGGCTTCGGGTTTCACACTCAAGAAATCCCGAATCCCTAAACCCTGCAAAACATCCCATGTGTTGTGTGTAAGGCGACAAAAACCACACCCTTGCCTTCACCACCCCCCCCCCCCAGTAGGGAAAAACCGAATCGCCTTGTCGGCAGGCGCCGCAGTGGGAAACGAGGGCTCGAAGTCACCTGGCGACACGTCTCATCTTTCAGGTCTCGGTATCCAAGCTCTCTCAAGCGGATGTAACATTCTACATGTTCGACACTTGCGCTATGGAAGTTTATGGCTTAGGGTTCAGGGTTTAGGGTTCGGGGCTTGGGGTATAGGACTTACGTTGTAGGGTTTCAATCTGACGTAATATGTCTGTCGGCGAACTGCAAAATTTGTTTCGAACCATACATGCCCCTATAGAAATGTTCAAGAGAAGCTGTCAAATATAAGTATAGTATTACCGCAAACCCTACTCTCATCACAAAGGCCCCTATGGTAGGGTTTAGATCTGTGGACCCTTCTGCACCGACCTCTCTCGAAACTCCAATATCTAAATCTACTACCCTGATCGACAACGGAAACGCCGCAATCACATAGCCAAATCTACAGTTGCATCCAGTCACCAGTCTGCTGGCGAGCACAGCACGGCCATCATTTCCACCTGCCATCATGTCGCATCTCGGTCTTCTGCTGTTCTTTCAGGCTCCATGCAGCTATCTACGGGGTTCCTATGTAGGCACGTTGCGGCCTAAGTATGTATGTATGTAAATATGTATATATATATACACTTATATTTATTTATTTATCTAATTATTTATTTATTTATCTATTTATTTACATATACATATATAGATATATAAACACTATAACGACATATTATGGAGCCTTGCTTTGGTCGGATGAAGCAGCACAGTCAGCAGAGATGATCGTGCAATGGAGAAGTTGCATCAGAAACTGGCTCATGTCTTTAGGGTTTAGGGTTTAGGGTTTAAGGGCCCTAAACCCTAAACCCTAACAGCCTCAACGTCTTACAACTCATGACCCTAGCTATAGCATGCCAATCATCCTGGAGGTGGGCAGACTGAGCAGCCATTCAATGACCCTATGTAGACCCTGTCACAGGAAACGCTACACCCGAAACCCTAAGGCCTACTTACACATCCCTGGCCCCCTCCTTAGGTCTATCCGGCAAGCTGGACCTACCTTGACCAAAGGCAATACGGATACTAGTGGTGAGGTTAGGGCTAGGGTTTAGGGTTTAGGGTTTTGAATATTACTGACGAAAGTTATGATTATTTAGCAGACAGCAGCAGCATTGCTGGAAATTGAACTACTCAGTGGTGATACCATGTGATGCTGCAACATCAGTCTTAACACGGCATAGTCCAGAACCCTAAACCCTAGTATAGGAGCCAAAATAATTACCAATACCATTTCAGGGGCTCCCTATTACAAAAAAGTAGTATGATATGCTCCGAAAACCTTTTCTAATCATTGAGGCCCTTATAGTAAGCCCCTAAACCCCTAAACCCTAATCCCTAAATCCTAAACCCAAAGCCCTAAGCCCTAAACCCTCAGGCATGGATGTGGACCTGTCGCGCGACAGAGCAGCGCTGGGACTTGGAGATGCGCATCAGGTCGACCGGCTTCCGGGAAGACCTAATATAGGGGCCTTAATCATTAGAATAGGATTCCTTTAAAGGGCTCCTTACAAGGGATACCATAAGGGCTATAAGGGTTCTATACTATAGGGGCCTTAATAATTAGAATAGGGTTTTGGTGTATATTCTACTATTGTTGTAATAAGGAGCCCTTTAAAATAGTATTTGTAATTAACTAGACCTCCATTTATGCGGAGTCTTTTGCTTGCAGGGTTTTAGGGGCTTACAGTTTAGTGTTTACAATTACTTAGAAGCGCCAAAAAAAACAGTATTTCCCAAGCCACTCAAGCCCCAAATCCTGAACCCCAAACCTCAGACAAAAGAGACAGCAACACGAGTAAGAGTTAACCATAAACCCTAAACCCTCGAACCCCAAATCGATTTGGAAACACTGCAAATGTGTAGTTCTCTAAATGGGGGTCCCGTTTAGAGCCCCTTTCATAAGGGTGCCGTACTATGTTTGGGACTGAGAAAGGAACCCTAGTTTAGAGATGGACACTTAAACCCTAAACCCTTATAGTACCTCTATAGAAACTCTTTAAAGGAACCCTTATAGTAGCACCCTTAAAGGAACCCTTCCGTAAACCCCAAACCCTAAACCCTAAACCCTAACCCTAAACCCACCATGGACCCTTAGGGAAATGCTGAACTATCAGATCCACCGAGCTGCTCTCCCAGCTCCGGTCGACGTCGCCGAAGTCACGGCGCGCTCAGGAAAGCCCAAATGGCCTGCTGAGTGCTGAAGAGACGGTTGATGATATAAATCCTGTATTACCCATAATGAAGAATATACCATAATTCCCATAGAATATACCAAAACTTCCATGGAATATACCATAATTCCCATTGTTTAGGGTCCTTCTTAAGGTAATGCAGACTTTGTATCATCAACAGTA